AAAAAAAAAAAAAAAGATGAAAGAAAATTGTTTTCATGTTTTACAATTATATATATATATAAATTTTATCTTCTTCTGCTCCTCCTTTTGCTTTTGCTGTCGTCACCAACGTTATTTGGAAACACAGCGCACTATAAAGCCCAACTAACCAGCCGGCCAATCAGTTAGCCAGTCAGTCAGTCAGCAAACAGCTTTTGGCTTTCAGACTTTATTGACAGAATAATTATTGATACACACACAAATAAATTGACGAATACAGTCACTTATTTTTGTTTGGTATCTGTATTTAAAAAAGTGAAAATAAATAATGAAAATTAATATGTATCTGCTAAAAAAGTTGCAACAGTTATAATGCCCAAAAGAAAAATAGGAAAAAAAATTTGTACACTTTTTACAACTTCTTTTTTCATCTTTAAAAAAAAAGAGCCTTTTCTTTGTTTTAGTTTTTACTGCTCTTTTCTCAACATTTACTAATTTTTGTCCCTTTTTTTTTCTGCCAAAATGTTTATCAAGACAAACAGAGAATTTCACAGAAAACTAATCCATTTCTAATCGGTTAACAGTGATCAATAGAAAAAAAAAGCATCAAAACTAACTCCCATAACAGATTAATTCTTTGTGTAAGTTTTTGCTATATTTGTTAATTATTTAATTATTATTTAAAAGAATAATCTGCTAATTATCTGAATGTCATACTTCTTCATCTTAATTCTGTTTTTTTTTTTTTTTAAATTCATCTATCTATCTATCAAAAATTCAACTTTTAGTTAATAGGTATTTCTTGAGAAAAAAAGACGCATATAAAACGTACGAAGTTTGTAGTGGTCCTTGGCCGACAACTGTACAGAAAAGATACGGTTCTTGTGCGAAATCAACATGTAAATCGGTGGTTACCGAACCAGTCATTCCAGTCCGAAATGCTGTCTCACCAAGTTGCAGTTGGGCTGACGATAATTTTATAGAACCTTCCAATGATGCCGAAACACTAGACGATAAAAGAAAAATAGTTGAAGTAAAAATTACTAAATTTTCAATTTATTCTACAAGAATATAGTGTGGAAATGAAAAGTGTTATAATTACAACAAATTTATGTAATTTTATTTCTTAATAACTTCAAAAAAAGTCAATATCAAGCGAGAAAAAAGCACCAAATAAATGCTTGAAAATTTGACCAAAATTTCTTTGCTTTTCTGGTTCTTAACTGATTCTCTGAAATGCTACGACATCAGACTCATCTGACTCAATGCTTTGTTCAGCATCTCAAATAATTTCTTCAACAGTACCAGTTAAAAGAAATATAAAACAGTAAAAATGTTAAAATTTTCAAATGAACTAATTCTCCGTGCTAACAAAACTAAAAGATTTATCCTAAAATGTAGGTCACAGTACTTTGCAATCAATGATGCTTGAGCATTTCGATTCCATAAGCTGACGTAAACAGAACCATTCAGATTCAGGTTTACTGCTCCACCAAACTGAATTTTTGCAACCAATCCGCTCAGCAATGGTACAGCGGTATGATATTGACGAAAAACAATATTTGTCTAAAAATTGGTTTCTTCTATTAAAAAAGGCGATAATCTGTCAGCAGAAAAAAAAAAAAGCTATCGTTGCCTTTTTTTTCCGGCTTTTTCCACCTCCATTTATGGTTACGAACTGTATGATGCGTAATCAGTTGTTTGTTACTCGATAAATTCTTAAAAAGAAGATTGAACTTTTATAAATATATCAAATCGTTTACGCATTTAGGGTATTAAAATTTTATTCTGTTATTACACTTACTTAGACAGTTATATTTTGACAAATATAAAAACTTTTTTTTTTAATGCAGCTTCATAAGTCAAAAGGTAAACAAAATCTGTGCCTGACAAATTGTGCTTATAATGCTTTTTCTATTCATATTTGCATTTGTAAATATGCACATAAATCCATAATTTTTTTCTGTATTTCTATTTCTGCATCATTTTATCAAATGTCTAGCATTTAATCGGTAATCGAATCGTTTAAGTGCTCAAATTTATCAGACTTATCACATTATCCCGTTTCTTCCATACGTTCTCTTTAATACACTTTTTAATTGCCTATGCTAAAAGAAGTGTGCCAATCCAAAATGGAGAGAAAAATAGATTTTAGAAAAGTTTTAAACTACATCAGAACTGATGCGATATTGCAGATTATAACCGATAGACATAAAAATTTTATCAAAGTTTTTTTTTTTTTTTGTCGATCAAGTACTATCTGCTTTTAAAATTTTGTTTAATAACTCTGGACAGTATCTTCATTCATCTGAAGCTTCAAAAGTGGAAGAAAATTTTCAACTGCAACAGCTAAATAGAGAGGCGATAAAACGCAGGAAAAAAAAGGCATAAAAGACCAATAACTGTTGACTGCCTTACCTCATATGCATTAAACGGTTCTCCGTTGGCATTCCATACGGCACTCATAAGTTGGCTGTAACTGTTGAAAAGTTTCACTGGTGGTTGTCGATTTGCAAATAGTAATAGTTGTGCCGATGCTTCTGGATTTGTTGAAGACCGATGTATTTCTTCATCAGCATTTTTATCATCAGTATCAGAACTTGAACCAATTACGCTATCCAGTCCTTCGGTATCAATACTGATCTGTACAAAAATAAAGTTGAAAAAAAAAAGAAACGATAGAACACTTCTACATTCAAAATTGTTTTAACTGTAGAAATAATAAGTAAGCGGAAAAATTTTGACGTAAAAAAAAAACAAAGAACTGTGAAAAAACTTAACAACAGTAAATTTATGTTATCGTACAAATGAAGAAATAATGTCTTTGATAGTTTTTTTTTTCTATTGCAACCGCAATTCGAAAAAAACATTTTTTTTTCCTTGCAGTATACTTTTTATTTTTTCATAATGTTAGCATCTAATTTAAAAATTTCAGACAAAGTTTGTTTTTGTCCTGTCAATGTTGACATTGAAACAGTAATGCGATGAGGAACAAATATGGAGAAGAACTAAAAAATGCTAATGACAGATAGTAACAAATTTTGATCACTGATCTGTTTTATATCAAATTGAAATGGGTGTCAAATTAAAAAAGGAAAACAGTTTTTTAGGCAACTATAATTTTAAAAAAAAAAGAAACATTTTTTTTTGTTTCTTTTATAAATTCATTCTTTTTCCTTTTTTTGCCTTTCTCTAAAAGGTGTGTTTTTTCTTCTATTAATCAAATAGCAGACAAAGAAAAGATCGATGAACGTTAAATTGTTTTGTTGCCGTCTGTTGAATACAGCTCACAACTGTTGCGTGATTTTCGATGCTGTAAGAGGGAAAGGGAGTGCTAAATTTCTGTTCTAATTCTATAAATCGTTCATCAGTTGCGAAAAGATACTTCTTCGACGAACTTAAAAAGTAAAAAAAAAAAAAAGAACAAGAATAGGAGAGGTTGCAAATTTTGTTTTTCAAAATGGTCTGTCTTCTTTTTTTGTTTTTTGGATACTTTTTATTGTTTCTTATAGTTTATTGTGTTGTGGTTAATGTTTTTTTGGCTATATTTTGCAGTTTTTTGGGAAAGCAATCACCTGATTTTGTTGTTTAGCTGAAACTTTAAACAAAGCTAAGTGTGATCTTTTGAAAGGTTGGTAATTGAACATGCTGTTTTTCTGTCTGATAAACATTAAAAAACAGCTAAGGACTACGAGGTTAAAGTAAAATACAACTTTTTTTAAAGTCTAACTAATGCTGTCTTTAACAGTACAAGAAATAGGCTTTTAATTGAGTTTTTTTTATTTTAATTTTTGATTTTTCTTTTTCTGATTTTATCTATGAAAGCTGAAAATTTTATTGACTATACAAAACCATATATGTCTTCTTATACACATATAATTAATGTTGAAAAAGCTGTAAAAAAAATGGCCAAAAAATTGTTTTTTTTTT